CCACCCCCTAAACCTCCCACCCTAACCCCGCCCCTGCACCCCCACTCCAACCCCGCCGTAAGCCCCACACAAAAATAAAGTAGCCATATATACTCTGTATATCATTATCATTACTGTACTAAAAAAATAGAGTATTACTGTTGTCTCAGTATATATGGCTACTTTATTTTTTTAAGTGAAAATTAATAGATTTTTTTAACTTCATTTAAATATTAATTATAATACTCCCTTCGTCCTATTTTAAATTGCATGTTTGCCTTTTTTCTCTGTCCCAAAATAAGTTGCCTGTTACTACCTCCATCTTAATTCTTTCTTCCCAGTTTGACTTTTTCCCATTTTTAATTTTTGGCTTTGACTTCAAATTTTACCCTCCTTAAAAAAGATTTTTTGAAATTTTTTTTGCAATCATTCAAAATATAGAGTTAGAAGATAATTGGTGTAAATACATGAGGGTATTAATGTCATTTGTCATCTTTTTTTTCTAATGGGAAGGTAGTTTTAGGACGGAAAAAAATGGGAAATGAGAAGAAAGTTTTAGGATAGAGGGAGTAGTTGTTTTCGTAAACTTTTAAAAATAAAAAACCTAAACTACCCTTAAAATAAGTCACTCTTCTTCACCTTATCTTTTCATTCATCATCACTCCTTCTAAAAAGTAATGATAATTTTAGAAAATTAACTTTATTTTTTATTTTCCTTAAATATGTCCAAAAGTCAAAACAGGCAATTTAAATTGGGACGGAGGGAGTATATATTAGTATAAAGATGATTTAATTAGATGTATATTCTTGAAAACTTTCAAAATTTGATTTCATTGTATTAATATGTAATATAAAATGAGAGTATTTGATAATTAGAGTTCATCTAAATTGACTTGTAAAATTTAAACCAAACAAAGATATTTCGACGAATATTCTTTGATGTACATTTTTTAAATTCTAGTAAATGAGGATCGTTGGATGTCATCAAATAATAGTGTCATGTTAGAGTATTCCCTTTTAATTTTGACTTTTTAGAATTAAATTTGATAAACTTTGAATATTTATAAAATAAAAATTATATTACATATTTGTAAAGAATGATTTAATTATGTTTGTCTTATAGAAAATTTTCATAATATTTTTTTCTCTGTATTTATTTGTAATGTAAATGTACTATAATGGACGACATCAATATGAGATTTGATATCTCTTTCGACTGTAGATCATTTCTCGCCACGGACTATTGTTGTTACCGCCAACAGACGCTCGTTGTCGGTCACCACGCTCATCACTTATTAAAATGATGAGCAATGCTAGGGGTACACCAAAGGTGTACCCCAAATGTACACCACCCCCTTCTCCACCACCCATTTTTATTTATTTATTTTTTTTGAATTTCTTGCCTTTTTTTGTGGACAAGGAGGGGGTGGGGTACACATTTGGTGTACTCCTAACATTTTTCTAAAATGATTTTAAATCTCTTCAAAAAAATCATTTTAGATGAATGTCTACCTTTTTTACCGGTTTCCACTCTGCAGTTATTATCACCTTTCAATCCACCAATTATAGAAAGCTGCCGGATTGAATCTGAAGTGTCAGAATGATATGATGATGATGACGACTGCATTTCTTCTTTCTAGAAACCTCCAAATCCACCAATCTCCCGACTCCGTAAAAGCTCAATCGTCGACGCCGATTCCGTAACCCTCAGTACTCCTCCCCTTCCCGATCTTTGATCTCTTTTGTTTAACTTCAGGAATTGCGCTTCGATTTCAAATTTCAATGCGTTCGCTCTGAGGAGGAGATCGGAAAAGGAATGGCGATCTCCGATGCGGTTGTGGGGAATCTGACGACGCTGTACCTCGCCGCGATCGTCGCTATGAAAGCGTACGCCTCCGTCACCGGCCGAATCTACGGCGGAGCATTTGTTTTGGCGGTTTCCACGGCCACCGTCGGTGCTCTGCTGGTCGCCAGCCTCACGTGGGACATGTCGCGGAAGGCTTCGTACGCGCTAACGCGCCGCTGCCGTCTCGACCGCCGGCAGGGTGATCTCGACGGGAATGAGATGTGTAGCGGCGGCATCTGCTGGCACGGCGTCGCCGTCAAGTGCCCGGCGTCTCAGGTCCGTTTCCGGCTCCCGCAAACTTAGCCCCTCAACGGATCGTAGAGAATTTAATGCGTTTCGGCAACTATCACCTCATAGTCAATAGTCATTAAGATATGGTCCCCAGTCACCGTTCTTTCTTTCTTTTGTTTTATTCCTTCTGTGTATGATTATATGGAGTATTTGGTACTTTCTCTTTTTTCCTTGGAAGGGAAGAAAAAGTTGCAAAGTAATTTGATAATGTAGGTGGTAAAATAAAGAATAAATTTATCTCTATAATGGGTCATTTAAAGGTAAATTTTCTATATTTGGTGTTCTTTTTTCAAATATTATATCTATAATCATTGATACATAAATATTTTTTAAGAAATCGCTCTAAATAGAGATAAAATATAAAGAAAATATCAAAATAAGAGTTTCATTTATTTATGCTCAAAATAAAAGTTCGTCCTGTAGAAATGTGATATTATATATGGACATTTCACAATACCTTTTGCTAATGAGTTTGGTTTATATATGCATTTTAACTTTTTTTTCATGACAAAAATATAAACTCTTATTTTAGTATATTTTGAATGTTTTACTTTTACTTTAGTCTTTTTTCCTATTTTTTATAGACAGTAATTTGTTTAACTTTATATTATGTTGGTGTTGAATTGAAAGTTAAAATTGTAATTTTCACATTCACTTTAGGTTTGTTCATGTATTCTCTTGTCGACTTGATGAACAACACAATAACAATAACTATGACTGCATACGACTATGGTTGCGGTGGCGGAGACTCTGGCGAAAAATGACATATCAACAGCGACTTTTGACATTGACTATGATAAAATGTCATGGTGTCTACATGAAATTATATACTCCGTAAATATTTTAACTCTCAATTTATTATCAACATGATGAACGGTAAAAAGATTTAATATTCGAGAAAAGGTACTCATAAACAAAAAACTATAAATATATTGATGGATTAGGGATTTTACCTAATCCAATATTATTTAAACAGTACAAGTAAGGCCAATTGAATCCAATCCAAGATACAAATCAGATAAATTATTCAAAACGGAGCCAGTGAGCTACGAGCAGCGGTCCACTTCTATAGAGCTCCGGGGAGCAGCTCCAACAGCGATCCAGCGAGACTCCTCTAGCGGGACGCTTCCGTTGAGCTCCCTCTTTCACCGACGAGCCACGGACAGCGACGGCGAGCCCTTCATCTTTGAGCCATGGCAGCCGCCCCAGAGAGCTCCGCCTAGATCTCTCTAGTATAGGTGAGCCCCATCGAGCTCTGTCATGGTCCAACGAGTAATTAAGACCCTTGTCTAGCTGCGGTCCAAGGGGCTACTGCTCCTTTAGCAAACCTCCAAAGGTAGTCCAACAGCAACTCTAAGCGCCTATCACAAGCCTCTACGCGAGCCACATGAATAACATTTGGGCTCCCTCGAACGTAGGCAAGCTTCGCCATGTCTTCGTGGTCCAGCAAGCAAGACTCACATTTAGTAAGTCCAAGCTAGCCCCTGAGAGCTCTAGAGAAATGCATAGAGCTTCATCAAGCCTCATCCTTGAGCACTAAATGTGTTAAACAAGTTAAGAAATAAAAAAAGAGAAAAATCAAGCTTTCAATTAGATTTGAGTTAGATTATCAAATTACTAGAGGTATCCATAGATTCCCGTGCCAAGATAGAGAAAAAACATTAAAGAGAGGGGTGTGCGGGGATTTTCTATCATTCAATAAGAGTGGAGCGCCCAACCACCATGAGATAGATATTGGGTGGCAGTTTAGAGGCTCGTTAAGAATATTGAAAAGTGAGCCCCGAAAGAAGTCCTCTTCTAAGGCAGAAAACCCTGAGAAAAGTCATCTTCCAAGAGGCACCAAGCCCCGAGAAAAGTCATCTTCCAAGAAGCATGAATCCCCGATAAAAGCCTTCTTTCAAGAGGCACAAATTCCTAAGAAAAGTTATCTTCCAAGAGGCACATACAAATCTTCAAGAAAAGTCATCTTTCAAAAGGCACCAAGCCCCGAGAAAGTCCTCTTCCCGAGGCATTAAAGAAAAGTATAAAAAAGTCTTCTTCCACGAAGCACCAAGTCCTCTGTCAAAGGCACCGAGCCCGAGAAAGTCCTCTTCCACGAGCCCCGAGAAAGTCATCTTCCAAGAGGCACCGTTATGAAATTATATTTCGGTCATTATTGAAGAATAGAAATAGATATATAATGAAATAAATGTTTTTCATTACAATAAAACTATGAATATCAAATTAATTACAAATTTTGAAAACTTTCTTTATAAATTACAATTCCTTCCAGTATCTTCCAAATATTCTTATTTTCTTTAAACTCTTTCTAGTCCCCAACCAATTACTCTAAAAACCATATAGTTTTAATGTGATGATTATTATTATTATTACAACTATTATGTTCATAACTATAGTTTATAAATTATTTTTTTCATCTCACTATTTTTACGATTCACACTCATTATTTTTTCTTCAACTTTTTACTATGAATAAGTTAGTATTTTTGTATATTAATCTACATGATAAAATAGGAAAACATCAATATTTTAAACTATATTAAAAAATTATGGAGGAAATAGTTACATAGAATGTTTTATTCATCTAACTTTATATAAGACCTCTCAACTTTTCCTTTATTACTCAATTTTTTCTAATTTTTATTTATTTCAAAATTTAGTTTTGTTTTTCATTTTTCAATTTTTTTTAAAAAAATTTGAAAGTCAAAATAGTTTAAAGAAAGACTAAAATAGGAGTAAAACATAAAAAAATGTACAAAAATAAAAAGTTTTATGTCATTTTTCCAAACATAGGAGTTACAATAAAAACAAAATGTCAATCATGAAAGAAAAAATAAATTTGATTACATTATGTGACATGTCTGATATTTAAAACAAGATTTGTAATATATAAAGTATAATTACAAATATATTATTTTATAATAAATACTGCATAAATAAATTGAGTTGCAATTTAACAAAAATAACTTTTTAAAAATTAACATTTTGATATTTATATATATGCTAACTTTATATTATAATACTCCCTCCGTCCCACTGTGTTTGTCCACTTACCTTTTGGCACACCATCTAATGCACTTCTTTAATCCATTTTATTTTGTAATTTGTATATTAAAAAATTATACAAATTATATATTAATAATCTATATGTTAAGACGAATCAAACAAGATCACACATGACTATTTTTAGGCTTACACATTAAGATAATTTGATAAGTCAAAGTGCTTAGATGAACAGTTCCAAAAGTCAAATGTGGACAAACACAATGGGACGGAGGTAGTATTTTTTTGTAAAAGTAGTTTTTTTGTGCATGAAAAATAACAATATTTTTTTCTTAAAGGGATTCATTAAAATAATGTGATGATGATGATGATGATAACAATAATAATAATAATTTTTAACAACAAGAATTAGAATGAGAATAATATAAAAATACACTAAATTAAATTTGTTTTAGGTTTTTAAATTTTTTTAATTTTTTCCAGTTTTTCCAGTCCTTTCAATATCCAGCTCTTTTTTTCCAGTCCTGAAGAACATGCTCTAATTATAGTTGTCCAAGATAGCACTATTCATTTATGTTCTCAACCACATCACCAATTATCCAATAGTAACCCTTCTAAAAAAATGTAAGTGTATTTTTATAGTTAGAAAAAAAGCAAACTAACATCTCTCAAATAATAATATGATATATCATCATCATTATTATTATTTTCGTCAATGCGTAGACTGCGTCTTCCTTGAGGTTTTATTCGAAACTATCTATATGAAGTTGTTTTATTTGTGCATGGATTCGATCTCCCTATCAATGCAAGAGATAAATGTCGATAACATTATGACCTTAAAAATTTTTATTCTCAAAGGATCACACTAAATCAACAACTAACGTCTTCATCGCGAGAGACTACTGTAACATCCCAAAATTGAACTTAGTATTTTAATTAATTGATTAATAAAATTAATTAATTACTAGGTCAGTCAATACAAGAATTATTTTCTAATTTGTCTTTTTAGAGCCTGTTCTTTAGGGCTTGAACTCTTAACTTCCAGTTTCTTCCAATTCCTTCCAGTTTTTTTTCAGTTTTTTCCAGTTTCTTCCCGTTTCTTCCAGTTGTTCCAGTTCCTTCCAGTTTCTTCCAGTTTCTTCCAGTTCCTTCCAGTTTCTTCCCGTTCCTTCTAGTTTCTTCCAGTTCCTTCCAACTTTTCTCATTTTCTTCAAATTCTTTCAACTCCTCAACCAATTACTCGAAAAATGGTATATTTCAATGTGATTATTATTATTATTATTATTATTATTATTAAAATTGTTATATTCATAACTATAGTTTATAAATTATTTTTTTCATCTCACTATTTTTACGATTTACACTTATTATTTTTTTTCAACTTTTTAATATGAATAAAAATTTTTTTGTATATTAGTCTACATGATAAAACAGGAAAACATCTTTTTGAAAGTTTTTTTAGGTTTTCCAATTTTTCTAGTTTCTTCCAGTTTCTTCCAGCTTTTTGCAGTTCCTTTCAGTTTTTTCCAGTTTCTTCCAGCTTTTTCCTGTTCTTCTAGTTCTTTCCAGTTTCTTTCAGTTCCTTCCAGTTGTTTCCAGTTTCTTCCAGTTTCTTCCAACATCCAGCTCTTTTTCTACAGTCCTAAAGAACAGACCCTTAATAAGAGGATTTATCCTACGTTGTAAAGCTCGGTGTTCTGAACCAGACGATGCAAATGGATCAAAAATGGAGTTATTGGGCTCAAGATACGAGTGATGAATCAGGTAATTGGACTTAAATTTGTCATAATTTAATTAAGAATTGAAACTTGGACCCTAAACCTATTTAATTTAGTAAAATGCGTCGACGGAGTCAGTTGCCGCACACTATTCTTTCTCCCACACTGTTCGTTCTTTCGCTGATGCACCAAAAGGAGCTTTATTAGTTCATTTTCATGATACAAAAATTAATGAAACACTCTCTTTTTCCAATAAAGCTCTTTTCTCTTTTTTTGTTCATTAATTTTATTCTATTTCTTTTATTTTATTCAAAAATAAAATAAAATAAAATAAAAAGGATAAAAAAGAAAATAAGGGAAAAGAAAAATATATGAAAAAATTACTTTTATAGAATAGAAAAAATTAAGTCATGAAGAAAATATTTTGCGCATCGGCCCGAAAAATATTATTAATATATACTCCGTAATTAACTATGTATTATATATTAAAAAGACGTTACTCAGTATTCTTTTGGTCCCGACATGTTTAAAAAGATAAAAACTCTTTTAGAAAAAAAACGAAAATACTTAATTTGACAAATGAAGCAGTATATGTTAATTTTTTTAATTTCAAACACTATTTTTTTTATTTTTTAATTTTTTTTTTAAAATATAGGTTTGAAAAGTAATAACTTTAATTATTTTACACACAAACATTTTTCTTTTCTTTATGAAAAAAGAGAAAAGAAAAACAATAAAGGAAAACGAGAGAGAGCGTTGACGCCCATTTCCAAAAGACCAAAACCATTGGAAGTAATAGAGTTATTCACGTAATACTTCAAAAATACTTCGTATTACTCCGTACTTATTAATATTAAAATCAAGGCAACTAAACCATGAATGATAATAAGAGCATGTGCAATGGTGATGCGCAAATAGAATGCCACACGATGACGTAGAACATTTTAACCGATCAAAAATAGTCCAGTCAGCGTGTGACAAGTGAGTGGAGTAACATGTTATGCAGTGACAAGTAATTGTTTTTTATCATTTTTACACTTTTTTTTATATATTTTAATTATTAATTTTTTTTGAACTTTCCCAAAAAATAGATGTACTTTTTCAAATAAATAATTCTTTCTTGTATAATTTTTTATGTTTTTGAAATAAAAGTAAATAAATAAAAAACAAAAACGAGAAATTATGCCTTGCACATGCCTTGCATAATGCTCCTCCCATGCGTAGCAATACTCACTTAAGTTCTATGTGGCATGGCATGACAGTCTTTAGACTCGCCATTGCCAATGCTGTAATGCACCATTTATCAAAGCACATTTATCAAGGTGATACAATAAAGGACCATGCTACATTTACACCAAAAATTATATTCCATTTTTATTCCGCATTTATACACAAACATTTTGATGGTTTACAACGATACAAGTGTTAGTGTATTAACAAAAATTTACACAGACACAAAGTGTTGGTGCATTAATAAAAATTAGTTTTATACCCACATAAAATGTTGATACAAACTTGCGGGGTATAAAGTGAGGTACAAAAACTTGGAGAACAAATAACTTTATCGTACAATAAACTCTATTTATCTTAAGAATTGGACCAGTTTTTCAGCGGCTGCAAATTTATACAAAACCCCTAAACCTTCTTCCTCCTGCGCACCCCGAGCCTGGTTCACACTTCGCCCTCAAATGGTTTCTTCAGAATTCGTTTTCGAGCCTCCCAGCGATGAAGAGGTTTCATACCGTTCAGACGTTGAAAGTGACGAGGAGGAGGATGAAGATGCAGAGGGAAACGAGACCGAATCCCTAGCTAAAAGCAAGAAATCGCAGTCACCTTGGGACTTTTCTTCCTATTCCGAGTCCGTCGCCGATGAACACGCCCGCCATAGCACTACGTCAGTAGATCACAAAATCTCCAAGGCTGTCGAACAACGCTCCGCCCCAATTGCGGCCACCTCTGAGTCCGACGATGGCGGCAATAGCGATTCTGAGCCACACCACCAGGTAATTACTAGCATCTGTGAAATGATTACCTAACAGGCTACAGAATGTGCGTTCTGCTCCTTTTGAATTTAAAGCATCGCTTTCTTTATCGACCCTTGTTTTAGGAGGACTATATACCGGATGAGGAAGAAGACGACCATGTGGATACAAGTGTAGGAGCTAAAAAACCCTTCTTTGCATCAGCTGAGGGGGTCTCATTCCATGCCGACTCATTCTTGGATCTTAATCTGTCTAGGCCATTGCTACGAGCTTGTGAAAAATTAGGCTATACAAAACCCACACCAATTCAGGTTTCTTTTATTTATTAACGGATTAGCATTGGGCTATTCCATTCCCACACCATCTGAAATTGGGATTACTTAATATGTAGGCAGCTTGCATCCCGTTGGCATTAACTGGTCGTGATATATGTGGAAGTGCCATTACGGGTTCTGGGAAGGTAGATTTCAGGAATCTGTTTATTCTTGTCATTTGGCTTGGGCTTTGGTTTTTCTCTTTGTTGACTAATTTAATGAGTTTGTTTTTCTGCCCCTTACAGACAGCTGCCTTTGCATTACCAACTCTAGAGAGACTTCTGTACCGTCCTAAGAATAGGCCTGCTATTAGAGTGCTTATTCTTACCCCAACTCGTGAGTTGGCTGCTCAGTAAGTTCCTTATCATGTATTTTAATACTGCATATTGATACAACATCTCTCTCTTCTGGACTGATATTCATAAAGTTCATGAATTTATGAAGGTTCTTAAAAGCTATTGGGCTTGGACATTAATATTATTTACTTTGCTTTATATTTGACCTTTCTAACAACTACCATGTAAATAGTTATAACCCTATATTGATATTGATAAAACCTAGAAGCCGATGAAATAAACACTAACACCACCCTCTTTTCTTTCTCTCTCTCGATCTTCTATTGCTAAATATTTAGTTGCCTTGGTCTACCGTCTGCAACCAAGTTTTCAATGCAACCCCCAACCTCTTTCTCTCTCATGCATCCCCCCCCCTCTCTCAGCATACAATTGGGTGGGCAAATTACACATACACATTCATAGACTTTTTGGAATTGGAATTTGCAATTGGAACCATTCAATAACCCCAATTGTATACTGAATTTGTAATTATATGACCAGCCAAACAGAGTAATTGATGTAATTACACACAATTATACCAATTACGCAGGGTCTAACCAAACACTCCCTAAATCTCATTTAATGCTCCTATAGTCATATTGGTATCCAATCAAATGACATCTGCACACATTTTTATTACGTGACTTTTTGTACCATACTCAACTTCCAAGGGAGAATGCAATCAATTGTTTTCCTTGAGGAGACCAAATTCACCATGCTGTGTTTCAATTGTTTTCAGAATCCATAGTATGATAAAAAATCTTGCACAGTTTATGACTGATATCCGGTGCTGTTTAATTGTTGGTGGGCTCGAAGCGAAGGTATGCATTGAGCTTATGCCATTTTTTTCAGTTAATTATTTGTTAGTTGAGCATGCATCCCAAATTCACAACCAGTTGATGTGTCAACTCATCTTCTCAGGACCAAGTTTCGGCATTGAGATCAATGCCTGATATTGTTGTTGCAACTCCAGGACGCATGATAGATCATCTTATCAATTCTTTGTCCGTTGATTTGGATGATCTTGCAGTTCTTATTCTTGACGAAGCAGATCGCCTTCTGGAACTTGGCTTTAGTGACACAATTCGTGAACTGGTATATTTAATCATTGTTGTTTCATTCTCTATTGTGATCTACAAACAGAAAAAGATATTGCATGTTCTCCACATATTGTCTTGATGCTTCCTGTAAATATGGTGTCATTAGTTGCAGCATTGTAGTATGATTCTCATTTTCTCACAAGCAGAACATTAGACACTCATACTATGGTGTCATTGTAATGTCTGTTTAAGTGGTCATTAGACACTCATAAACTTCTGTATTGATTGATTTTCTGGTAGAAAATGCCTCTCTAATATTTGAAAGATGTTAATATTGTCCTCATGCCATCTCGATATTTGATAATAGATAAGCTTAAATATGAAATGTGATGCCGATAACTTATTCATTGAATTCCTGGCAGACAATGGCTACTTTAGCGGTTGAAAATATATACACATTCTGTCCCTGAATACACGCCCATTTTTGACAGTTGACAAAGATTAAGAACATGTAAAGTGTGTTGTTTATTTAGAGGAGATAGAAACAATATGAACCTCATAATGTGTATCTTAAAAGCAAGACGGGGAAAGTATTGGGACAGATAGAAAGTGAAAAGAAGACTGTATAGGGGAAGAGGGAGTACTTTTCTCCTGAAGTTTATTCTATCTTTGTCTAAAATAATAGACAGTTTAAAATGCCAACTGTTGTATTATTATTACTTTTTCCTGGTAGTGTCAAGTTTCTCTTCTGTTTCAGAATTCCCCTGTGCTCATATAGGCAGGAATGGCAGGATCATTAATTATTTGTTTTACCAGAATCTATTTTAAGCATCACTTCCGATTTATCATACTCAGGTTAGACACTGCCCCAAACGTAGACAGACCATGTTGTTTTCTGCAACTATGACAGAAGAAGTTAACAATCTTATCAATCTCTCTTTGAATAAACCTGTGCGCATATCTGCTGATCCATCTGCTAGACGACCATCAACATTGACTGAAGAGTAAGTAACCGATACTTGTGGCACTTAAATTCTTTGATTTGTATGTAGAATAAAATTGAGTTGCTGTCTGTTAGTTAGTCTTTGATAGTCATGAAGTATGGTGACGTTTGTAACAACTTAACAATGCATATGAGCAGGGTGGTTAGGATACGGAGAATGCGCGAAGCAAACCAGGAGGCAGTGCTTCTTGCTTTGTGCTCTAAAACATTCACTTCTAAAGTGATTATATTCAGGTTTGCACTTGAGCTCTCAAAGTGCAGAAGCTTTTATTTTGATCTTTGTTTATGTTTTCAGGCATGTGTGCACACATGTACACATATTGTTCAAATGGGAAGTGCATCTTTGGTAGGTAAATGGTAATCAATATGGTGCAGTGGGTTCAAGATCTAATGGCTAAAAGAGATTTAAAAAGCAGAAAAATATAATCAAGAAGTGGTAGGAATTGTGTAAATAAACTGGATTGTCTAATTCGTGTGAAGTGCACTAAAACATCATAAAAGTGCATTGCCATGATAAAACAAAATTGGAATTTTTCACATTTGCCCATGAAGTGTCATCACATGAACCATTCTCTATATGTGTGTATATGCATGAGTAAGCACACACACACAGACGGAAGATTTTTCCATGGGTACATTATGAGTACTATTTTTATAACTTACTCTCTGTCCCTGATATAAACTTCAGTTTTTTTGGTTACTGATGTTTGTCCACAGTTATTTTCAATTCATTTTATTTAAATATTGCTATAAAATTTTAAAAAAATTACTTTATATTTTAAAATTAGATCTGAAGTTCTATAAAACAAGAGATGGCTTGACCATTTTATTGTAACATATGATTGAAGTAAATAAGGGAAGAAGATATAACATGACCCTCTAGATAGTAAAACTTGAGTTTATTTATGGACAAAGCCCATGTGATTAATTGTGTTCCTAAGAGAGTTACGGGGGAGTCCAAATTTAAGGATAGAGGGAGTAATATTAAGTGCCCAACTGCACACAGATTTAAGTGCTAGCGTTAATACAGATGAAAATGATCATAACAATTTGATCTTGAGTCTGACCATTGAGATTGACTACCTCCATCCCTAAATATTTGTTCAGTTTTGACTTTTTTCAGTTAACCATTTTCAACCTTTGACCTTTAGCTGATTAAATTTATAAAGCATATTGATTAGATAAATTAATATTTTGAAAATATCATATAAAACAATTCCAATAATATTATTTTGGATCAATATCTAATATCAATTTTATTCAGTTAGTGGTCAAAGTTCAATTTTAACTGCAAAAAGTCAATACTGGATAAATACTCAGGGATGGATGGGAGGCCTTTGGTCTAGATGAGAACAAACATATACATGAGAATCCTGTTAATCTCTTCAGTGTGGATGGAGTGTAAGATTTTTGTGTTACATTATTTATTTTAAATATTTCTCTCCCCTAGTATTGTATAACTAATTTCTCTTAGTTTTGTCGATTTAGTTTCACAGCTGGCATCTTTTTAGGTCTACTGTTTCTTTGTGTCCAACTGGTTTGTCCTGATGCAAGGATTCTATATGGTTTCATGCTTAACAAATTATTATTTTTCACCGTAGTGGAACAAGAGAGGCTACCCACAGATTAAGGATTTTATTTGGTTTAGCTGGTTTAAAAGCTGCTGAGCTGCATGGCAAACTAACACAAGCTCAACGTATGGAAGTATGTTCATGCAAGAACACATTCTTTTCAGCTTCATTATCATCTTTTACTAAACAGTATTCAGTAGAGCTTTTCAATGTTTTTTTTATGTAACTAGGCATTGGAGGTTTTCAGGAAACATGAGGTGGACTTTTTGATCACAACCAATGTTTGTGCTCGTGTAAGACTTCTTTCATATTTGTTCTCCATCTATTCATATATGCAAACATGATTGGCTGTTTTTTATTTGTTCATTGTTCTATGTTTTTGTTTATTGATTGGGTGATTTGTTGTACTTGAAAGACAAAAACATATGGGGATGGTAGTTATATTCTGCTCATGCTGTTGATAACTCATTTCCTTTCTTTACCCACTTTCAGGGACTTGACATTATTGGAATTCAAACAGTTATCAATTTTGCATGTCCCCGCAGTACTACAAAGTAAGGAAAATATATTTATACGCCATGGTTCTTTGGTGTCATTACACCAATGCCATTTGGGGCCCCTATGGTGCTCCATTGGGCCCCAAACAGGTTCCTGTCCCCTTATCCTCTCCCTCAGCCTACGGATGTGCCTGCCCTCCCTCCACCCCACCCTACAATATTCCCAAATGGTGGCAGCTCTTTTCCCCCGGGCAACCAGCACACCCTCCCAAAAAAAGCTTGCGTCATTTTTTGACACCCCAGGCTGGTGTCAACAGAACCGAGCCCACCCCCATCCCATCGCACACACTCAGCTACATCTCGTGTAATCTTGAATACTTTTCTTTCTTTAGTTACCAGCATCAAGTGGGGCGTACAGCTAGAGCTGGTAAATATGGTTGTGCAGTTACATTTGTTACTGATAATGATCGCTCACTACTGAAAAGCATTGTAAGTACCTAGTTGACGTCATTTTTTATCGCAAATTGTCCTTTATTACTTGATGTCTCTTGATGGCTATGCGATTCCTTAATTCTTAATGATATATCTCACTTTTGGATCATATTGGTCTCAGCTTTATAGAATCTTTAGATCTCAAACTCATTAATTTTTCTAGGCATTTGTGACAAACACATAAAAACTATTGCAACAATGAACAGGTTAAACAAGTTGGTTCTAAGCTGAAGAATAGAATTGTTTCTGAGCAATCAATAGTCAAATGGATTAAATTAATAGAGCAGATGGAAGACCAAGTTGCACAAATCCTCCGGGAAGAGAGGTTCACATATTTAATTTAGTTTATGAAGTGATTGTAGTGAATGCACAGTTCCATGTATAGTTGGTTAATTTGGATAATTGCAGGGAAGAAATGGCTATGAGGAAAGCTGAAATGGAAGTAACAAAGGTTAGACCATAAGATAATTTTAGGAGAATATCTAGAATAATGATGACTATTTTTTGGAGCCAACTGTGGAGCCAAAGATTCACTATCTTTTGGCTTTGGGAATAAAACAAATTGGTTCTTTAAACTGTCTGCGCTTCTTGCAAATTGCAATTGTGAAGTAGCAGTTAGTCAATGCAACTTTTGACGCTCATCATGGGCCATATGGAAACATCCGCTCTATGTTTTAAACATAGGGGTCAGACTGCGTACATCCGACCCCCCTTACCCCGCAATGGGCGGGAGCCGTTGAGGCGCTGGGGTAATGTTGTTGTTGTATCTAGAATAATGATGACACTAAACCTAGAGAATTGTCTTATTTATGAACTTAAACTCTTGCAGGCAGAAAACATGATTGCACACAAGGATGAGATATTTTCACGCCCTAAGAAAACATGGTTTATGACAGAGAGGGAGAAAAAGGTTGTGGCCAAGGCAGCTAAGGTGATTAAAATTGTGTTTTACCTTGTTTTATAAACACTAATCCTTTTGTTGTTATTCTGTAATGTAGATTTATATTTTTCTTATATAGCTGGAATTTTTTGAAATTCAACCAGGACGCTACGGAAGCTGGAAGCGATTCCGTGAAAAAGGTAATTAGTGCTAAACAAGCAGAAGACCTCAAGATGAAGGAGAAGAGGAAGCGAGAATATGAGGTGGTGCTCTTTTATGTGGCATTTATGTAGATTGATGATGGCCATTGTTAATGATTATTATGCATTTAAAGGATATATGTGCATGTGATTAACGACTTTAATGACTGTTTATTATAGAAACATCTGCCTAGGAAGAAAAGGAGGAAGCTGGAGGCCGCCCGAGAACTATTAGAAGATGAGAATGCTTCAAAGGAAGTATGTGCATTCCTACTTGTTATTTTGCATTCACATTAGAATTGCTTTGCTATTTGTACAATATCAATCATGTAATGGGGCTTGCCTATGATCAACTATTTCACGATATTTTCCATGCACGCGAGGAAAAACAAAGGGGTGATGACAGTTGAGGAATATCACCTCATAAACTTCCATAGAGAAGATCTGACACAAAGGGCATTTTGGCATAAAACATTGCAACTGATTTGTTTGCATAAATTTAGTGTGAACTAGTTCTAGACAACTAATTGATGCTGAAACATGTTCCAAAGCTCGGTTACATGAATTCAGCAGTAGTAAGATTTGGGAGTGCATTGATATAAGCAGTGCTGTAATAGTGAAGTGGACATCTGCAGAGAAATGAGGAAACAAAGAAAAACAAGAAGGCCGGAATAAATGTTGTTGATCTGGCCTATCGTCGGGCAAAAGCTGTCAAATCTGCAAAGAAGGCTGCCGATGCTGGAAAGATCATAAGAAAGGCTGGGAAGAACACAAAAAGAACTGCCAAAGTAACTCAATCCAGGACAGAGGAGATGCGGCAACTCTTCCAAGGGGATATGAGCGAGGATAAAAAGAAGAAACCACGTTCTGGTGCCGTTAAAAAGAAATCCTCATTCAAAAGCAAGTCTAGGTATGACAAAAAAAACCCGACATTAATTCCTCCTCGTCTTTCATCATCATTCCTTTACACTTTCACATGTTGTTGGTAATGAGAATATAATTGGACCATGCCATTCATTCATACATTGAGCTTGGCTTGCGATTGTTGTGTTTTTTTTCTTTTTCTTGTGCATATATATATCCAGACTTTGCAGAAAAAACTAATCTGTTGTGTGTGTTTAAATGGTACTATTTGCCACAGGTATAAGAGAAGGTAATACTCCATAGCTTACTGGCAAAACCTAGCTAGAGACGTGACGTGGCACGACATACTCCGGAGAGAATTGCATTCAAGAAACTTCCATGAAATTAAATGTATTTTTTCCAGCTATTCTGCAAATGTATTCCTTATAGCCTACATTCTTGTGATAGTACGAGTGTTGTTTCCAAGGTTATGAAATTTTGCTTATTTAGTTTGTGATTACCTTTGGGAAATATACATATGCATATTCTTTTTGCAGACGTATCACTATAATCATTATGATAATTTCCTGTTTTACTTGTTTTTTGGATGTATTGGTGCCTTTTTTTTGTTACCGCTTTTTGGTGTCCATTTCCATGCTCCATCTCCACATATGCTACTACAGTGTATGGAACTTTTACTATGGGGGTTTTCAACATGTTAATACTTTCTCAGTCCCATAAGTTTTTTTAGACTTTTCCTTTTTTTATGTTACTCCGTATTAAAAGCATTAATACTTATTTTATTCCCTATTTGAGTTTAGGATAATGTGAAAGTTTATTGAGGTTTGAGCCCTATCAGAGACAAAGGTGTTTGTGTGTTATTAGGTTGAGAATAATATGAACCGATACTATATTGAACTAGAGTCAACAATATTTAAAAAAAAGTAATGAACATGTGGACACCAAGAACTTTATGCTCTCTAAACAAATTCTAATCATATACTCTCTCTGTCCTTGAAAATATGGGAGATTTTGATTTTTAAAGAATTTTGATTTTGGTATTGAGTTTCCAAATATATACTTGGGTGTGATTAAAAATAAGATTAATAGTGAATAAATGTGATGATAAGTAGGTTAAGAATTAGTAGGGTGAAAAATGACTTTTTAATAGAAATGAATTTTTTTTTTTTGGGATGAATGAAAAAAGAAAGCAAAAAGGTTTGAGAGACGAAAAGAGTATTTTTTTTCCAACAACTTTCAAGTGAATTGAAAGTATCAAGGAATTCATGGGACAAAGGGAGTATTTGATGCTTGTGATCTACTCTCTTCATCGTTGCAATAATATTCCACAATTGATCGATATGTATATTAATTTTCATTAATTTTTAATTTTAAATAAAAAACAAACACGCGAGGTTAAATTTAGTTAAAACTAAGAAATAAATATGATAGGATAATCATATTTAATGATTTTCACTAAGTTTACCTCATTAAAACTATATATTTCATCTTTTAGAAATTAATTGTCTTGCTTTTTTTTTCAGTCATTTCCAAATAAATTGTCACACCTTTTCACTTTTCTAATAAGCGAGTGCTTATAGTTGCAAAAAATTGCTGACGGGTACCCTCAGTTTTATGATAAAGACTATCGGGTACCCCTCATTCTAAAAATATACTACGAGGTACCTCTTATTATTCGAAAACTAACCAGGAGGAGATCTTTTTATCTATTCTTCAATTCTTCCATTTGCTCCGTTAGTTTCTTCACCAATCACCATCATCTTCTCCTCCTCGTCCTTTTTCTTCTTCTTACTTTTCTTCTTTAGTTATCTCATTCCATTCCCTCTTTTTTATTTTTCTATTATTATAATAACTAATGCCCCACCAAAAATTTACTAATATTATAATTAATTACTTTATATTAAAATTAATAAGTTGTTTTACTACACTAATTCTAAAAAAATACTAATGCCCCACCAAAAATTTGTATACCCCTAATAACCTTTCCCAATCTCCACTTGAGTAAAAAAAATTAAAACATTTTATATTTTGAATTAAAAATTAGTTTTGATAATCTATTTTTGTATAATTTATAAATTTGAAGTTGTTACTCCGTTATGTACTTAGATATAAAATACTTCCTCCGTCCCACTATATTTGTCCACTTTCATTTTTGCACATCATCCAATACACTTCTTTAATCCATTTTATCTTGTAATTTGTATATTAAAAAATTATAGAAATTATATATTAATAATCTATATGTTAAGACAAATCAAACAAGATCACTTATGACTATATTTAGGCTTACACATTGAGAGAATTTGATGAGTCAAAGTGCTTAGATGAACAGTTCCAAAAGTAAAAAATGGACGAATATAGCGGGACGGAGGGAGTATATGGAGTACATTTTAATTTACAATATAAGATGAAATTTAACATTATTTTTTTCATTAATATTTACGTACTATCTGCGTCTCAAAATGATTTAGAGTTTTACTATTTGAGTCTCTGGATAAATTTTATTTACTAATGTATTTTCATTAGTCATTTGACAACATAAGATATATTTGTTGCATGTATTTTATAGAACTTTTGATAGTTTTTATAACACGTAATTCATATTTTTTATTTTTATATCAATTTAAAGAAAAATTTTATTTAAAAATATGAAATTTTACACATTGTTTGAATAACGTAAATGAATTTAGGACGGAGTATAATTTATAACTAAATAAATATCATAGTAAAGCATTTTAAATTTATAAATTATACATTAATACATCACAAAAACTAATTTTCAGCTAAAGATTTAAAATGTTTTAATCTCCTTTTATTCAAGTGGAGATATGGAAAGATTAATGGGGGTACAAATTTTTTGGCGGGCAAATTAGTATTTGTTTAAAAAATTATAGTAGTAAAACTATTAATTAATTAATAATAATAATAATAATAATAACTACTATATTAATAATAACTATTACTACCTCTGTCCCTGATTATTTCTCCAGTTTTGACTCTTTTTTGTCAACTCTTTTCAACTTTTGACCTATAATTAAATAAAATATATATTGTAAATTAATTAGATAAAATAATATTTTGAAAATATTTTATATAATAAATCTAATAAAATTATATTAGTATCAATATCTAAGATCATTTTTATTTAATTTGAAGTCAAATTTTATCAATTCATATTAGTATCAATATCTAAGATCATTTTTATTTAATTTGAAGTCAAAGTTAAAATATTTTAATTTTTTACTCAAAGTGCTTAGATGAAGAGTTCTAAAAGTCAAAAGTGGACAAATATAGCGGGACGGAGATGATAATTTTTTACTCAAGTGGAGGTTGGTGGGGCATTAGTATTTTTTTAGAATTATAGTAGTAAAACTACTAACTAATTTTAATAATAAGTAATTAATTACTCTGTATAAGAATAGAAAAATAAAAAAGGGGGAATGGTGGGGGGGTCTGGAATCTGGAAGGGAGGGGCGGATGAGGATAACTAAAAGAAGAAAAGTAAGAAGAAAGAAGAAAAGTAAGAAGAAGAAAAAGGAGGAGGAGGAGAAGATGATGGTGACTGGTGAAGAAACTAACGGAGCAAACGGAAGAATTGAAGAATGGATAAAAAGATCTCCTCCTGGTTAGTTTTCGAATAATTAGAGGTACCTCGTAGTATATTTTTAGAATGAGGGGTACCCGATAGTCTTTATCACAAAACTAAGGGTACCCCTCAGCAATTTTTTTGTTATAGTTGTGTTTGGATGCCCTTCGAAAATTTACTTTTAACAGTATCACTATTTTACAAAAAATGCCTTCAAAAAATTATTCATATAAAAAACATAATTCAGTCGAAGTACAGAAGAAGTAAAAGCATCTACAGTGCTGAAAAAATGCCATAGTGCCAGAAGAAGCAGAAGGGCGAGCGGCACTGAAGCATTATATTGCCATGAGTTGTTGCCTTCAAATAATAATAATAATAATAATAATAATAATAATAATAATAATAATAATACTAACCAGTTATGTCTCTTATTCAATTCCTATAAGGCAGTGTTTGGAAACTATAATTCACTTGAAATCTTAAATTTCAATTCCAACATTTGAAACTCCATAATTTCAAATGCTGTTTGAAAAGTCGTAGAATTTCGATTCTGGAATTTGAAGTTTGAAGTTGGCAAAGACGGTAACGGAAGCGAGTTGATATGTTTGGAATTGTTATTACATAAAAGAAAATCACTCTTTAATTACAAGTTTTGAATTAAAGAAAAGTTGAGTTTAAATTTGTAAATGACAAGGGGAGGAATGTGGATTTGTGGTTGAGTTAGTTTTGAATTAGAAGAATTTGGTTCAAATCCAAATCCAAATTCTTTGAGTTTCCAAACAAGTAATTTGAGTTAAATCTGGATTTGAAATCCAAATTTGAGTTCCCAAACATGCCATAAAATATTTCAATTTGGGAATTTAGACTAAAATAATTGTAGATGTGACATTTTTTCCACATCCGCTTAAGAGTCATCGATTAAGAGCACATTCTCTTCAACTTATTTTTATTATTTAATCTTTTTAAAATCATATTATACCAAATGAGATCATATATTAAACAACTTTAAACGAGATAAGTTGTTGCCATTCCCCAAATGAGTAAAGAATGGCTGTTGATGGATTCATAAAGGGAACGCTTACATGGTTACATTAATGCCTTTTTCCCACATCCTATATTTAACCAAACTTTTCCCCCCTTCATAAATGGCCAGCAAAATAATCCAATTGCAATTATTAATGGTGACGGTTTGGTCATAAATAAAAATAAGAAATGTTAGACCATCTACCATTTTAGGTATTTAATTATAAATATTTAAGTAGGATAAATGATAGATGGTCTAACATTTCCTTTATTTTGTTTAAGAGATTTGCATCCTCATTTTTTTGTAAATTTAGACAAAGAATTGTAGATATGACAGAATTCACCTTTGTTTAAGAAACCTCAGCTCCCACCAACACCAAAGACACTCACCGCGTAGCAGCGGCGACCACCGCCTCGCGATGCGTCCGGCGACGGTGGAGCACAAGACGGCAGACGAACCAAAAGACGACGATGGAGGCAATCGCACTCATCGCCAAGATGCCGGTAAGCCTGTCGGAGGAGGATGTCTCAAGCTCGGTGAAGACCCTGGAATCTTGGGAATTGTTGTCCGACATTAGAGCTAGCAGTGAAGGAATCGGTTGAACGGTGGAACGACCGAAAGGAGAGGAAATTTGATTTTGTGCTCACTGGAAACTGGGAAGGGTTTAATGAGAATAAAAGAAAGAATTAAGCTAGGGATACACCAACATGGGGTACCCCAAGTGTACACCAAGCCAACACAGACACACGCAGATAGGGGTGCATACAAATCAAATAAAGTGTATCCGATTCGTGATTCGTATTCGAAAAAAATGATTCGTATTCGCTATATTCGAATCCGAATCCGAATACAAATCATATTTTAGATTCGAATTATTTTCGAATTCGAATACAAATATTAATAGATTCGATTCGTTTATTATTCAAATTATTTGAATATTATAATTTATAAATAAATTTATATATGTTCTAATATATTAAATATTTGTGCACATATAAATTTATATATATTCAAATATT